GCCCAACTTTCTCCAACCTGGTGGCCTCCAGCTGTTTGGGTCACAACGCCCAACATCCATGAGGCAGCACAGCTAGCTCAAGGACACTTGGCGGTGTAGTCCAACAGCCCTGGAGCGCATCAGACCAGGGAAAGCTGACCCACTCCCTGTCCCGTGCAGGTGAGAATGCAAGGAGAGCTGCCAGGCCCGCGAGGTGCTTGCAAGCAGCGGGGCTGCCGCGGGTGGCACTGGGCAGGTCAGTCCATCAGCGTCAAGGGAACCGGAGCACCAGCCGGGCCAGCCCAGAATCCTGCACTCTGACAGGCAGCGGCAAGACGGTCAAGGCTCTCTCTGCTCGCACTGCGCAACTGGGTGCGTGTGGCTTCTCCGGGAAGGCATGCCCCTCCCTCCCCCCACCAGCAGGAAGAGCCTCCAGAGCTGGGCTCTGGCTGGCAGCAGCACACGCCACCCGACCCTCGTGCATCAGCTGGTTGCACCTGGCCAGGTGGTGGGCCCCCTGCCCCCGACACCACCTCATCGGATTTTCTTTCCAGTCAATAAAGACAGCAAATAAAAGCTTTTGAGCTTTTTTAGGAAGCCCAAATATAGCACTGAGTATGTGCAGCTGTATTTTGTTTTGGGACCAAGAGCAAACTTCAAACCTTCTGTCAGGGTTCTAGTCTAAAGCGAATCTGTCTTGGAGAATGAGCTGCAACTGGAGGCCGTATTTCAGACCTGGAAGCTGCTCTCTGTCAGTCACATGAAGCTTTGCATAGCATCAGCCAAAAGTGCGCAAGAGCCTGGAGTTGCCAAGAGCTGAGCCAGGACTTAATGGTGAGGGAAAGCACAGGCGTCTATAAATAAACTCAATTAATGAGAAGTCACTCCCAATGAAAGGAAGACACCGGCTAGTTAAGCATGAAGAATTTCTACGGATGTTACACATTAAACAAAACTTTGGAATATGCTCTTCTTTGAAGGATAAATTAAGATCTAACTTCTATAATTAGAACTCAAGGAGTGGAAAACATTGTCTTGACCAAGGAGGTCAGAAGTAAGAGCATCATAATACTGATTAAAGAGGCTATAACAACAAGTTAAACATGGGTCATGTTGTATCAGTCAACACAATTGTTCATAAAAGAATCCACCCACCCCATCACATATAATAAAATCCTCAGCTATGGCAACTTCCACACAGGTTTGCAGATAAGATCTGACGCAGCTTTACTGTAGCTGCTGCTCAAACAGGGCTACTTTCCTTGTTAATTTATCTTGTGGTTTCTAGCAAATACAACCTTGGGTTGTTTTCGACAGAATGATGCAAAGCCTGAGGCGGATTCATTACATACAGCCCAATAAACACACGCTTAACCGCGTGACCCTTTGCGTATTCACTTGGACGCGAGGGCCCACTATATTCAAGGACGCTTCCTTCCCAGCTGGCCTGCGCAGGATTGCAGTGTGGCAGCAGCCATGGCGGAAAGAGTGCGGGGAAGCAGCCCGGCAGGAAGTGTGCGGCTTCCTGCAATCGCACTGTTCTACTGTCGTTCCTTCAAAGCCCCACAGGGTCAGACGAGGGGCCTGAGCCCAGGGGTATGGCGTACAATGGGGAGGGAGCTGTGGCCTCCCCCCTCATCCTCCTCGGCACACTGACCCCAACAGTGGGAACGAGCGAACCCCCGAGGCCAGCAGCCTTCTTACAACGTAACGTCGACGATGTTGCTTCACCCACAAGCACCTCTCCGGCCAACATGTGCAAGATGGAGAGATGCATGTGTGTATCGACGAAATCTATTTAAACGGGCCTTTTCTGGTGTTAATCTGTGTGAATGGCCCAGAGAGCTTCTGCTATTGGGCGGAACGGGCAAAGTCCTTTGCTCCTCATAAACCTGGCCTCAGGTCCTCCGCTTGGGATTCTCCACAGAAGTCAGCTGGGCCACGATGAGGCAATCCAGGCGCGCCGGCGCTAGGCTCCCCGTGGCAAGTGTGGGAGACCAGCATCCGGATGCTTCACAGAGGGAAGAATGTATTTCCTTGCAACAGGGAACCAGACCTGCTTCTCCAAAGCAGCATTTGGGAATATGGGGAAACGCGGCTTTGGCAATCTGCGAGCATTTCAGGCTTACACCAACCCTGCTTCACCTACTTATTCATCACCTGGGTGAGTTATTATATAATGACAGTGAAGTTCCTATAATTGCAGTTGGGAAACACAAGGCTTTCCCGAGAACTTACACCCAGACTCAATGGTAAGCTGGCAGTGAGACTGGGGGGCAAGGACTCCAGAGAGGGACCGTGAAAAAGAAGAAGAGCTGAACACTCTTTCTGGGATCCGGAGCCCCGAACACATGGCTGCTCAGAAGCAGTGAGCTGCGCAGGTAAAAAGTAAATGCTGGCCAAGTTTAAGCAGCACAGACTACAGCCAAATGGTCCTCCAGGTGAGCGGGAGGTCATGCCCCCTTGGATCCGGCCATTCCTGCTGCTCTCCTGCAGTCGCTTAAGCAGCTGAGGTCTGCGAGCTCAGTGCAATGAAACCGGCCGAAGCCCCGACTCATTAAATGCCCCAGGATGCCCAGTTGGGAATGCAGATGCGGGCAAGATACCATCTGGAATTTCTTAGAAAGAACCGGAGGGGAAGAAGGAAAGAGAAAGGGTAAGAGAGATGGAATGGCGTGAGGGCTTGGAAGGGAAGGATAATGGGGAGAGCAGACAGGACAAGTTTCTTTGGGCTATTTACCACAGTCCCAGATCATGCTGCCAATTAAACAAATCAATATATATAAATCCAAACAGTGAAAGTACCAGTTCACACCTGCACCCCAATCACAAAGACATTTGCAACAGAAACTGTGAGAAAAGGGATGTTGCTTGTGTACCAAAATCCCTAAACCCTAACCCAGTGATGGCAAATCTTTTAGCGACCGAGTGCCCAAACTGCAACCCAAAACCCACTTATTTATCACTAAGTGCTGACACTACAAGAAAATCTGAAAACTGAGGTTTTAGTTTAGAAAAAACAGCTCACAGGCAGTCCAAGCAATCCTTGGCAGCGCACTGACCGGCCATACGAAAACGCGGACGAGTTGGGCTACTGAGTCGCACCACATGACATCATCGCCTGGCGCCGCTACTCCTTTCCGAGCATGCGCACGGCCCCTGTGTGCGCTGTTACCCGATGCTCGGCTGCTGGGGTGACGCTGGGGTGACTTGGCTCACATGCCAACAGAGAGGGTTCTGTGTGCCTGTTGTGGCACATGCCCCATGGGTTCGCCACCACTGGCCTAACTCTACCCTGGTGCACTCCTCTAACCCTAATATAAGGGTAAAATACCATTGAAAGGGGAGATTTTGAAAAAGCCCTCCCTGAGTGGCTTTTTCTGCACTGCTCATCATTTCTGCCCCTTCTAAACATGTTCCAACCCTCAAAACCATGTCAGGACACCTCGTTTTTCTAACCCTAACCCTACCCTGGTGCACACCCCTAACCCTAATAGAGGGCTAAAGTTCCATTGAAAAGAATGTGATTTTGAAAAAGCCTTCCTTGAGTAGCTGTTTCTGCACAGCTCAACATCTCTGCTCATTCTAAACACGTTCCAACCATCAAAACCATGCCAGGACACCTCCTTTTTCGAACCCTAACCCTACCCTGGTGCACACCCCTAACCCTAATAGAGGGGTAAAATACCATTGAAAAGAGAGCAATTTTGAAAAAGCCCTCCCTGAGTGGCTTTTTCTGCACTGCTCATCATTTCTGCCCCTTCTAAACATGTTCCAACCATCCAAACCGTGACAGGACACCTCGTTTTTCTAACCCTAACCCTACCCTGGTGCACACCCCTAACCCTAATAGAGGGGTAAAGTTCCATTGAAAAGAATGTGATTTTGAAAAAGCCTTCCTTGAGTAGCTGTTTCTGCACAGCTCAACATCTCTGCTCATTCTAAGCACGTTCGAACCATCAAAACCATGCCAGGACACCTCCTTTTTCGAACCCTAACCCTACCCTGGTGCACACCCCTAACCCTAATAGAGGGGTAAAATACCATTGAAAAGAGAGCAATTTTGAAAAAGCCCTCCCTGAGTGGCTTTTTCTGCACTGCTCATCATTTCTGCCCCTTCTAAACACGTTCCAACCATCCAAACCGTGACAGGACACCTCGTTTTTCTAACCCTAACCCTACCCTGGTGCACATCCCTAACCCTAATAGAGGGCTAAAGTTCCATTGAAAATAATGTGATTTTGAAAAAGCCTTCCTTGAGTAGCTGTTTCTGCACAGCTCAACATCTCCGCCCATTCTAAACACGTTCCAGCCATCAAAACCATGCCAGGACACCTCGTTTGTCTAACCCTAACCCAGTGATGGTAAACCTTTTAGAGACTGAGTATCCAAACTGCAACCCCAAAGCCACTTATTTATCGCAAAGTGCCAACCCTGCAATAAAACCTGAAAACAGCCAGTCCAAGCAAAAATATCTACATCCTTGGCAGCGCACTGACCAGCCATGCAAAAACTCGGATGAGTCGCGGCTAATGCGTTGCGGCTTGTGAAGTCATCGCCTGGCACCGCTACTCCTTTCCGAGCATGCGCACGGCCCCTATGTGCGCTGTGATCCGATGCCCAGCTGCCAGGGCAGTGCTGGGGCGACTTGGCTCGCGTGCCGACGGGGAGGGCTCTGCGCACCTGCTGTGGCATGCGTCCCATAGGTTCACCACCACTGCCCCATGCTTTAAAAAAACAAGTCCAGCAGGGAGAGTCACACGGCTGCTTTCTGACCAGACCTCACAGCGCAAGACACCTAAGAGCATGCAACCACACCATTTCAGAGCCACTTAAAATTCCAGGTCCTCAAAAAAGTGATCTGACTCAAAACACAGTGTACCACTGGCAAGAAGGACTGCAAACTGGACTCGCTTTGCCCGTCCCTTGAATGGGCACTTCAGCTTCTCTCAGACAGCATCCATCCCTCAAATCCTTCCTGCCAGATCACCAACAGCACAAAACGGAAAGCGCAACCTCACCTGGGTGGCTGCGGCGACCGAGGTTTTGGCTTCTCCTTCTCCTTCTCCCGCTCTTTCTCTTTGTCCCGGTCCCGGTCTCTGTGCTGCCGGTCCCGCTCGTCTCTCTTGATGCGCTCCCTCTCTCGTTCCCACTCTTCTTTCCTTTTCTGGCGCTCCTTGTCGCGCTCACGTTCCCTCTCGCGCTCCCGCTCTCTCTGCTGCCTCTCCCGCTTGCGCTCCCTCTCCCGTTCGCGCTCCCGTTCGCGCTGTCGGTTCTCCCTCTCCCGCTCTCGTTCCCTTTCCTTGAAAAAGAAAGTCAGCCTTGTCAAGAGTTCTGCTTCATATGGATCTGATTTACATGATGGTCTTTAGCAACGTATCGGGACATGTGAAACTTGCCAACTGAGCTCTCACCAGCTGCTCAGGGAACAGAAAGCCAGGCTTTTAATAGAGATACAGGCTTTTCAGGGGAAAACATTCACGTCTGCAGAGGGTAATTTGCATCAGAACACAACCCACGGGGCACTCCAGTCTGGACTGAACTGCCGAAATGAGAGGCAGCGGCTGCGATGCGCAGGCGCTCTTCCCCGAGTTTTGCAACTTCCCTTCCTTGCTGCTGTCCCTGATCTTGGGGGATCTTGCCGCAAAAGGGGGCGCAAATCTTAGCACCTGCTTTTCGTGGGCACAGGTCACGTGTGCCTTCGACAGCTCTCTAAACAAGCCAGACAGTAAGAGAGGGCGACTTGGACTCTCTCAGTCAATTTCCAAGGTTGGCACCTGCAGCATTTGAGAGGAGGAAGCTCCCCGGGCACTGCCCGAATGCGGCTGCCCCTCACTTGTAAGACGGAAAGAACAAATGGGAAAAAATGAGTGCAGATGTTGGTGCGTGGGGTGGGGGGATGTCCAAAACATAAAAAGGAGGCCTGCAATGGCGGACAGGCCACCCAAGGTGCAGCTCGGTCACTGTGAAGAGCTGCTGCCAAGCCGAGGATCATGACCCCTGGAAAGGGAGAGGCAGGAAAGCCGCGGCAGCCCCGGGAGGCCTCGCGATTGCCCCGGGGAGGGCTGCCAACCGGTGCCACGTGCTGCGGGTACAGCGGTTGTCGCTGGCCGGTACCAGGCCAGGCACTGCTTTTGCTGCTTGCTTGCCCCTCCCCTCCCCTTCCCCCGTGACAGGAACGGTCACCTGGGCTCAGATGGCACGCCAACCCCCAGTGGGCGAAAGTGCCCCTTGAACAACCTGTGGGGAAGAGTCCAGGGTCACACAGCATTGTGTGTTGCCACCTAGGGTGCATTGCTGTCATGTGGACTGTGCAGACCTTTTTTTTTTTTTTTTTTTTGCATGCTCGCTAGAAGGTAAAGGCGACAACATGGCCTCTTCCCATTTAAGGGAACACAGAAAAGAACTGAAAACGGCCGAGACATTTTCAGCAATCCAACGGGCCGCATGATAGGCTGGCCGCCACGTGCTGAGTTCAGCAGCATCCAATTCTCCTCCGCAGGGTTGCTGGGGAACCTTCGGCCGCTGCCCCTACCTCTGCCAGCCCCTGCGTACGCTCTCCCATGCTTGCTAAACATAATCACTAGAAACATTAATCACAACTCTGACATTACCAAACCGGCTGCTTCTTGCATCCACGCTTGGTATCCATTCACTGTTATCAACACACTTACGAAGAGGGGGAAAATTTCCGCAGGGAAGGTAAAAGAATTTTCCAAGTGGGAAAACTTTCCACTTTGCATCACCGACCCTTAAGTCAATGGAGTGGTGTGGACCCGCCGACGAACTGATCCTAACAAAGATCTTGGACTGTGTAGAAATGGACAGATTGACTTTGTCATTGAAGGAGAAAGAAGATACTGACTTCTATCAAACTTGGGATTCTTTATCACTGGCTAGAGAAACGGGACTTCGCATAGGTTTAAATCTGTTTCTAAGTTATCATAAATGGAAAAAAAATGTGGGGGCTGACCCAACAGGTCCGATGTTTCTGATGACTGATGTTGTTTTTTAGTTTTTCTTTGTTGTAGGGTTATTTTGAATAAAACTTATCATTAAAAAAAATGGAGTGGCATGGCTGTCCCTCCACACCCCCCACCCTGCTCTGGTAATACGAGAAACGTGGAAACCACGCCAGGGCAGCGCAAGCAGCCCTCCCTGGGCCGGAACCAAGAGCCAGTTCAGCATTTTAAAGGTCAGTGGAGCATCTGGACAGAGCCACGGAGAAACACGTAACACAGGCGCCGCGTCGGAGACTGACTGCAGGCCCTGTCCATGCTGGGGCCCGATGGGCAGCGTGAGTCAACCGCAGCAGCACAAGCACACGGGGGCACGAGAAGGGCGCGGCTGCAAGGCACATGTCCTACCTTGCTTAGTCTGTAGTTCCGGTATGGATCCGGGTCTGTGTACTGTACCCTGAAGTTCTCATACTGCCCGCCTCTCCAGAAGCGTTCTATTTCGTAGTCATAGTAAGGGTCTGCATAAGGATCGGTCCTGCAGAGGAAAGGAAGAGGGGAAGTTTCGTTTAAGCGCCCCCGTCCGCTGCTCCAGGGAACTACTGCCCGGAGACCCCATCTTCCTGGGCAAGACCTGAAGCTGGCTGAGGGGGGCGCCTTCAGATGGGCTCAGTTCTACAGATTTCAGAGTCTTTCTTAGGATAACTGGAGCTGGGTGAACAGGGGTGTTCTGATATTTAGGGCCCGTGCCTATGCAAGTCCAGCTTAGACAGAAAATGGCTCATGAAAAGGCAGGACCAAGCTGGGAGCTGCAGACTTTTCTGTTTGAACAGGCACCGGATCGTTCCCTTCATCAATGGACTGGCCAGATGAACCGAGAAAGCAGGTGAGGCTGCGGGTGAATCGGAATGCCATCAGCCCCTGCTCTTGGAGGCTTTGAGCCTCCGCCGAAGCGTGGGGTGGGGGGGTGATCTCTGCCATGCTACCCTACAACTCTGTGTTTTGACTTGATGGGCTTTTTTGCCCACTGAGATGGGCACGTCGCGGGCGAGAGAGAAGGCGGCAGGAGCAGCCCTCCCTCCCGTTTGGAGCACCCCCTCGCTCCTCTCTGTAGCTGCTCTCCTGTCCTCAGAGAGGAGGAGAGCGACGGGCATCGCAGCCTTTCAAGTGGCCCCCTATTGAAAAGGTTTGAGGACCACTGGTCTAAAGGCTCCAAGCCTTAAAGGGCAGGCTAAAAATAGTTGCAGAAGGGAAGGGAAGAGAGAAGGCAAGGCAAGGCAAGGCTCTGCCCAAATATTGGGGAAGGTGGCCGAAACTAGGCAGGTGAAAAAGTCCATCTGGCAAAAATGCAGAGCAAAGATCCCCACAGGCCTTCAGTTTGGGGGCGCACTGAAATCCCAACGGAACTGCACCCGCCCTCCTTTTCAGACATTCATCTGATTGATTAACAGGTGAACAGTGCAATCTTGGGCAGGGTTCGACAGCGCCCAGTCCAATATTGCTGCTGCAGGGCTGCCCAGTGAAAACACGAGATGCCCCACAGAAGAGGCAGCCTGGGGCAGGCTCTCGCCAGCCCCTGGGCTCCACGGTAATGCAGTGGGAATTTGGCGAACTGAGGCCCCCGGGCAAAGAGGGGACGCCAGCATGCGCAGCAGGACGAACCGCTCAGCTGGAAGCAAAGGCTTGCGCAGCGGCTGGTACTGACCCAGCATTCCTGAGCACCGCCGAGGGATCAGAATGAAAGCGACACGGCATGGCTGCGAGCGCAAGCGGGCACAGGGGCCACTCACCCATAGTTAATGTTCTCTTTGATGTTCACCTCACTGGCGTTTTTCAAGGAAGGGGGCGGAGAGAAAAAGAGAAGATTTATGCAGTCAGCCATCTGCACACATCACAAGTTAATCTCAATGCAAGATAAAATGGTTTGAAAAGTTAACTCTTAGGAGAAGGATGGCATTGTGAGCCTTCTGGAAAATTCTGAATTGGGGTAGTTTTTGTTGTTTTACAGAGCTCTAAACTAACTGGGATTTGATTTCGCACATCTGCCAGATGTACACTGCAAGCAAGGCGTATCTACTCAGAAGTAAGTCCCACTGAATTCAACGAGGCTTTCTCCCTGTTAGGAGGGTAAAGGACTGGGCTGGTAGTAGACAAAAACTGGAAAAGAAATATACCATGTCAATTTTATGTACTGCATAGGGTTTTTTTTCTGTCAGCCAAAAAGTACTTAAAACTAAAATATTTGATATGGTGGGAAACAAGATCAATACAACATACTAAATAAGTCTTACACTGTTCAAACAAATTCAAAGCTTTACTTAGAAAACAGAACTGGAAAGCTTATAAATATTTTACGGAGCACATTGATCCTTTAACATCTAAATACAGGAAAAAACGAAGGCACTAAAAACAGTTAATATACTAATTTTGCCATGTTTAAAGAACACATATGCTAGGTAAGAATAGTCTCTGGAAAAAGTGACTTACAACCTGGGAACTGCCCGATTCAATTGGTACTGCATGTCTCCATGCAATTTTAGAAATGGAAAAATCCCTGCAAAAAAGCAGAGCAGTGGAACTATTTCCACCACAGAGAACATCACACTACATTATCACCAGGGAAAGGGATATGCTGTTTCGCACGTATGTATGCATTTTTAATATTTTTATTCTGCTTTTCAGGGCTGTGCCTTCCTGAAGCAGAAATAGTGAAAAACAAGGCACAAACTGCAGGTTATCACATCCAAGCAGATGCTCGAAAGTACTCAGAAAGTCATTCTGCTGACTTGCAGAACCCATAAATGCAAGATCTTCAAAGATGTCTAAATGCCAGCGCTGAGGGGACAACTGACGGGAAAGCAGTTTGAAAAAATTGGGGCCATCCCCGAGAAGGCGCTGCAGGCAATGCGTGCCGACCTTCCCTTAACAAAGTCTCCACTGCACGTGAAGAAAAGTGGAATTCCGACTCCCAAACACAAAGACGTAAAGCGAGAAAAAGGGGCATCGACTTAACAAGAGCCACACCGTTTGCAAGGCCACACAGGCCAAAATCTTGATCTAGACAGGTGCAAGAGCGGACTCTCCCCGCCAGGAGTGCCTTCCTGGCAGGCTCGGCCCGTGCGTGGGGTGCCGAGGCAGCAGCACAGCCCTGCCCGAGGGCCTCCTTCCATGACGCCGCCGGCTGCAAGCGCTCTCCTCCCCAGATCCACCCAGGGGCCCCTCACTCAGTGCGCGGCCCATCCTAGGCAGGTTAAAGCCAGGCTCTGCTGCTCCACGGACTCGTGGCGGCTGGCGATCGGCTGTCATGCCAACCAGGACCTGCCAGCCCAGGGTGACCGTGATCCATACACTCCAGCCCACGTGCAGGGGCCAGATTTCTGGAGATGCTTGCCTGACCTACTTCACGAGTGGGTGGGCCCGCCTCGGGGCCTGATACAGGAGGGCTGGCTGCCGCCCTTCCAGGAGCACGGCTGAGACAGAAAACTGCACTCTGGAAGCAGGAATGCACGCTTGTTCCGCCAACGTGTCTTCCCTTCTCTGCCCACCAAAGGTGGTGTGATTAGCTGTGGGGCTGCCCAAGCGGAAAAAGGGCTGAAGTTGCGTGATGCTAGAAAATACGCAGCTCTTCCACGTCACAGGTCCACCTCTGAGTGGCGCGGAAAAAGCCCCAGTGCACGCCCGAAGGTGCTTGCTGAAGGGATGTGGGAGTGCGCCCGGCCATCCAGCTGCGACGGAGGTGGGAGACTCGCTGAGGCATTTGTGCGCTTCCTTCAACATCGCACCTCAAGGCTTCACCCACCTTGCTCCTTCCTCACGGGGCCGTTTTCAAAAGCATGCATTCAAATGTGCAGACTAAAGCATAAAAAGACATGTGCCTGAAACTGGTGCAGTCAAACACTCAAACACACACACACACGTGCATTTTCATGCAAATTCAGCAACACGTGAGCTTCCCCTGGAAAAAAACTGTGCTTGTGCTTGTGTCTGAAGAGGTGAATGGGGTGCTTGGGAGTAACTGAAGCAGCGAATGGAAATTCTTGCCCATACCTGGCCACTGGGCTTAACAGGCCAATGCTGCCCTCTGCTGGGATGTGGCACTGAGCGCTGAAGAAAGGGAAGGGGAGTGCGAGCATCAGCAGGCAGCTGGCCCAGCTGGAGCCAAGCCCTTGCTGCAAGCGGAGCCTGACCTTGAATCCCGGACTTCTCGAGTGATGCGATAGTTCCAGTCCCGGAAAAATTCATTCTCTTTGTCGAATTCACGCTCGTCTTCCCCAATCGTCATTGTAAACCGTTTCTCCTCAAAGTCAGGCTCCTGCTCCTTCCTCATGGTGGCCTTTTTCAACACCTAAGAGGGCAAGAAGGTGATAGTAGTCACTCTAGAAGAGAGATGGCAAGACCGACACGCGGAGCACGGAGAGCTGAGCGATGGCAGAAATTGCAACATCCCACCGAGTTTCCATTCTTTGGACCAATTGGGGCACTTTTCCTGCAACCCTGCCACCCTCCAGATGCCCTGAACTGGGATGCCGAACAGCCCGCAGCTCCCCGGGGGGATGGCCGTGCTGGCCGGGGAGGATGCAAACCGGGACGCCGAGCGCTGCAGCGGCATCTCGCGACAGCACACCAGGGCCAAAATGCACGGTGCGAGGAACACGCTGCGACCATCCACTTCTGCACGGAGGCCAAGAGCCTCGGCACCCCGCCCTGGACTGGGCCGCAGGTCTCGCACCGAGCGCGGGCCGGGCCCTGGTCTCCCCAGGGGAGCCGCTTGGTGCACAGGGGCAAAATGCAGCGGGGGAACGGCCTCTTTGGCAGGAAGGCAGGACAGGCTCCCGATTCTGGACTGAGCGCCCACAGTCACGTCTGCTCCAGCTTGAAGCGGCCACACCTGAACAACCCCGCTCATTCCAGCGCACGGTCTGGCTCCGATTCAGGGGGCGGGTCGCCTTGACCTTGCTCTTATCGTGGCCACGGCACGCGGTTCCAATCCCCAGCGGAGTTTCCCTGCTGCCTCTGTGCCCGATGGGCGGGCTCACCTCCTTAGCGTGGCGGAGTCCCCGCTCCCAGGCACTCTCCACTGGAGGGTCTGGCGGGGGTGGCGGCAGGATTTCATCCACGACAGGCCCTCCCTGTTGGAAGAGAGGAGAAGGTGAGCTGACGTTTGTTTTCGTTGCTCTTGCTCTTCCTTTCTGCTGAAGTATGAACCAGCTGGTTATGCATGTCACCCTTCCTGCTTATCACACGGCACTTGGGAAGTTACTCAAGTCAACTAACCGTTATAAAAAATTATATTGGAACACTACAAATAGGAACTTGCCTTTCTTACCTTACCAACTGCTTTCATCTCACAGTATCATGGTGGTCAAGGGTGGGAAGCCTGTTTTGGTAGACGCATCCATGTACAGGTTGCCTTTTCCAAGGGGTTTGAGGAAGTTTATACAGATATTTGCATCACAAACTTGTTCAGCACTGAAAACTGCCTCGGCACTCTCTAGGCAGCCAGAAAACCAGAGCTAATGCATGCTTTTCTCTTACTTCCGAACAGGTTACTTTGAATCTGCGCGACAGCACCAAGAGCCCTTAAGCGAAGGATTCTGCTTGGCAGAACCCACACAGGACACGGGGGCGGGGCAAGAATGTGGCCCGTGGCCCAAACTCTGCTCCAAGTCGACTCTCCATGAGAAGGGATGCTGGGCACCGGGCGTCTTCTCCTTTCCCCCTGTGGGTCGGGCAGCATCAGCCACGCAGACGCTCCCCGACGCTTCCAAAACCTTTCTGTGCTTTTGGAGCTCGCCAGTGTGTCCTCCTTCAACCCACCCTTTCACAAAGCTTCGCAGTGAACAGCGAAGGCAACCGATACGCTTCTTCCAGGGCTCTGCAGGGCCCGCAACGGCTCTTCCACCCGGAGAGGCGATGCCCCCGCTTCGCAGAGAGCCAGGCCGCTGCAGAGAGCCACCGCAGAGAGCCAGGTTGCTGCAGACCTGGCTGAGACACGCCCTGCTCTCAGACACCCTGGGAGGCGCAGCCAGCTGGCTGCTCCGGGGACAGCCAGCGGCCTACTTCTGCGCATGGTGCCTCGAAGCAAGCACAAGTTTCTGCCTCTCCCAGAGGTCTGTGTGGACAGAGCTCCCCTCTGTAAACCTGCAAGTTCCGGCACAACCTGGATGGCCAGGAGACAGGGAGACCGAGGTGTGGACCCACACTGACTAACGTAAAACATGCATGGATTCAGCAGCTGGGCTGCCCTTTCACAGGTTTCTTAAAATTTCTGCCAATAGATTTGAAGCAGCAAACTCAGGTTCCTTTTCTCCTTGGCATTAACTGAGATCTCAACCTATGCTTAAGAGTCAAAATATACTTGCCTTTTCTGGTAATTTTCATTTTCCTACATGGGCCCAGGTCTGCAACAGGGACATAACTTTAATTATTCAGTCTTTCCCTGTGAAGTTTCAAGCAACCCAAAGGAGTTCTTTTAAAAACTGCCAAAAAGTTTTTGTTCTATTTTACAGTTCTTTGCCTTCCTTTCAGTATGTTCTGCTGTGGCAACGGATCAAGAAAAAGCTAATAAAGTACTGATCTGAAGGACACGCATCTTTTATAAGTAACTCAGAAGAACGCCTTGCACCTGTTTGCATATCTACTGCCCACCCAAATTGCCTGGCATTTCAGCGGTACTCAAGGAAGTCTCTCCACAGGAGCAGCTTCGCTACGCCAGGAGGGCGTATTTTAGTATTTAACGACATTCCTACACTTGCCAGTAGCTGAAGCTCTCTGGGCAGCACATACAAGGTGCGGCGTGTTCTCCATGTAACATGCTGGTCGCATTCTGAACAGCTCAACCAGAGCACTGGCTAAGAAAAGGGTTTCAGTTGGAGCACCTGAGTTTCCAAGTGCAGAACAGGCATGATCCGGCCAATGGGCCTTTTGTGAAATGTCCTTCTTGGAAACAGTTCTGAGCAGGCGATGAAAGATGCCACCCCATCCTCAGTGAAACCTGCAGCTTTCGTGCGCGCTCAGAATACTAAAAGAATGAGATACACGATCCAAGCGGGACTTGGAGAAGCAGAGTGGGGTTTCTTGCCTCCTCAGTCTGGAAGGCTTTAGGGAAGAGGCTACTGCACTTGTAAGCAAAATTCTTGAGCCACATGCTTACAAGTTAGAGGCATTTAAGTGAGACTTTCTTGTTCACACTGCCTATCGCTTAAGAGGGTAATTATTCCAGAGCAGCTTCTCAATGGACCGGACATCTTTGCTAACGGGGCGGTTTTTACCTTTCCTTCTTAACGTCTTTCTCGGATGTGCGCTGTCTCGTGAGAACATGGCTCCAGAAAGTGGCTGGGAGCATTTTAATACAATATGGCTCAGATGCACGGATGCCTTGGTCTCCTGCACGCGTGCCTTGCTCTCTGGGCAGAGCGGCTTGCGTGTGTGTGTGTCTCGGCATGTGAGGCTGCTGCACCGAGTCACGGCATGTGCACAACCGAGTTCTCGCAAGCACGGGGCACGGCGACAACCGATCCCACCCCGAGGCTGCCTTGTGGGCAGCAGGCAGAGGACGACGCAGAGCCCTGCTCTTCTGACGTTAGAGCCACGAGTGCCGAGCAGAGAGAGCCATGGGCCTACGCAAAGCCACACTTCGGCTTACAGGGGACTTAAAAGGGGCTGTGCCGTCCTTTCTTCCCCCAGGTCTTGCAATCATTAGCACAGTCAACACAAGAGAAGTTGCGGGGCCTTTGACTGCCAACGGAGACGCTTGGCTTGCTCCTGCCTTTACAGAGCTTCTCGAGCAACGTTGCCTGTTTGGCCTCGCAGCATTCCAAAAGGAACCACAACAAGAAGACTGCCAAAAATGGAAAGAGGAGCTCTATCATACCCATGGATTGGCTGGCATCAGAGGGTGGGGCCCAGGGCCAATTGGTGGTGCACCATTGGGCGGGAAAGGATCTGGCTTGGAGATCAGAGAGTAGTTTCCCTTGTCATTGACACCAGGATGAATAAACCGGCAGTTCATCCCCCAAGTACAGAGCCCTGCAGAGGGGAAAATGTACAGAAATGGTAAAAGCTTCATGCAGAAAAGAGTAAAAAGGTGAGAACAGTTTTTACTCTTGAGGAAATCGAACCAACCACATACCATGCATGGAATTCCTATAATGGGGTGATAGCCTGATTTAGAACTCGAAGTGATCTATCTTTTTGATAAAAAACAGTTCTTGCTTTTATTCCTTGCTACAGCTATTGCTTATTTTGTGAATTCACTGAGCTCAACTAGTCATAAGTTAAGTTTCTTCTGCACTGCTCCGTTTCTTCCCACTCCCACGAAGTGGATGCAACAGATCCTCCCAAACCAATGCCAGGAGTGTTAAGACCTGGCAGGTAACTTATTTATTTTAAGAATGCATATCCCCTTTAAAAATTCCCAGAGACGCTTCTATGATGGAGTGCTACTAAACAAAGCTCCAGGAGCCTAACAAAACGCAATTCAAAAACAACTTTCAAAAATCCAAGCTGCGAGCCAAAAAAGATGTGAAAGCCAACGCTGGTGGTAAAATTCAAACTTCAAAGATTCCGGACGATCTGTTTTCCACCCCCTGCCTTGGGGAGGGCCAAGGGGCCTCGATCCATGCAGACTGGGGTGCTGCACCTCTTTCAGCTCGAGGGCCAGCAACTGTTTCTGAGAAGCTCTCGGACGCTGCATTCCATGGCTGGCAGGTCCAAACACAAACGGGGGAGCTCAAAGCAAAATACAGCCCCTTCCCCCAGCATGATTTGGCTCAGGGGTGGGCAGAAGGCGAATCCTGGGACATTTTGGTCTTCAACGCCATGCATTCCCAGCCACTGGTTCTGTTCTGAAAGGCCTATGAGAGCTGAATCCAAATCCAACTGGAGAGCAGGACTGGGTCCCCAGGTGGCCTGGATTTGGTCCCTGGGCCAGAGGTGCAACGTTTCTGATGTGGGTAAACACAGCGGCTAGCACAACGGGTAACAGCAAGTCTGGATTTCAGCAGTGTCAGGGACAAGCATCAGGGACATGAGGTGCCAGTGACATCCCTGGCTTGTGGGCTGCGGGGAGGTGGCCACTGCTGGAGACAGAATAAAGGAGGGTGAGGCCCACCTGGGCCTTATCCAACAGGGGCTCCCTGGGAAACTTCATCAATACGAAAACTGTGGGGACTCACAAGCCCAGGCAGCAGAGGCCCGAGTCCAGACAGCAGTCCTGACGGAGGCTCGAGAGGAAAGGGAAGGCGTGGGATCAGCTCCTACCTTTCACAAAAAAACGGCAGGTGAGACGCGGCCTCACTTTCCTGTCGCTGGGGTCTTTGACCTCTCCCTCCTCCAGGTCGTCATCCTGAAAGGCACAGAAGAGCAGGTGCTTTGCAGCGCGGAAGCTGCTGTCAGTGAAGCCACAGGCAGGATGGACATGCTCTTTTCCCTGGGGCGCGTTCGTGTGCGGGGTGGCCGTGCTTACTCAGGGGCGGGATGCTCCTTTGCCCATGGAAGGTCCCGACCCCTGCACCTCTACTTAAAAGTGATCGCAGACGGCAGGCCTGGCCAAGGCCTCCACTCAACACCCTGGGTAGCAAAGTGGTCTAACTTAGCTCGACAGCCCTGCCTGCTCCTCTGGATTGTGCCAAAGGGCAGGCCAGGATGTTTGCTAGTTCACCTCTCCTCAAAGAGGCCTGACAAGAAAGGGGGAGGTTAGGGTTAGGGTTCATGTAGCCTCTAGCATGCGCCCTTTCGGAGGGCTAGGTTCCAAAGTGCAGAAATGTAGGGCTTACATGAACAGACGTGGGCTGAGTGAAGCTTCAGAAGATACACGGTTCAGCTTCCTGGCACCATAAGCTGATAAAAGGGAATTGTCGAAGGACAGGGAGCTGACAGGCCCCACAAGACTCCATGGAGGTGAAAACCCAGGTATCCTGAAAACTTAATCACTTGGCACAGGGGTACTCAATTCAATTTTGGAAAGGCTCTTGCCTTGGACGGGGTCCAAGACAGAAAGAGCAGGGCTGAACCAGCAGAAGCACCAGTGTGCGAACTTACATCAATCTCGCCGTCATCAATTTCTCCATCCTCCTCTTTCTTCTTCTCTTTGGGAGGCTCCTGGCCGTCCTTTTCGTCGTTGCTCTTTGGACAAGGTTTCTTCTCCTCCTCTGGTGGCTCATCTCCCTTCTCTTCCTCCTCCTCCTCCTCCTCCTCCCCACCAGCCTTATCGGCCTCGTCATCAGCAGCGCCGGCACTGGGCTCCTCGGGGACCTCCTCGTCATAGTCCAACTCGTGCTCGTCCAGCTCCCGCGTGACTGAGGATGCTTCATCACCAAGATCGTTGACACGGTCCTCCTCCTCCTCGACACACAGGGAGTTCTTCAGCTCCCTGCTCTGCTCATTATTGTCAGAGTCCTGAGACTTGGCTTCACTTAAGCGGTCTTCTTCATCCGAGCGGTTCTCCTCTTCCTCCTCCTCTTCCTCCTCCTCATGGCTCAGCGCTCTGGCTGGGTCCTCCTCCTCCTCCCCCAAATGGGTGCCCCGTGCTTCCTCGCCATCCTGTTCTGAGCCACTCTCTTTCAGGATTTCGTCATCGGAGAGCTGCTGATTGTCCTCTTCCTCCTCCTCCTTCTCACCGGGAGAGTGGGGGTTTTGCTCAGGGCTTTCCGAAACATCCATTAGGGTCTGCTAGTCTGTAACAAGGAAAAACAGGTACATCACTGGGTGGGAAAGGAATGGTTTGGGGCTGCTTTTTAAGGGTGCATCTTTCAGCCTTAACCATTCCTATAGTTGCTTGCTCTCCAGGGGACACACCCTTCAACTGTACAATTCCAGCATATAATCCAAGAGGAGTGACAGGGTGCAACTACCTTACGATACCATTTACAAGTGCAGCCCCCCCAAGCAGATTTTCCTCTGCTCTGGTGCACAGTGGACGGGCTGTGCAAGACAACCACGAGGCTCTCCTTGACAGTAATGAATCGTGCATCTGCTGCTAATGCACATATAAAATACATTTCCTGGCAATTCACCAAATGCAACCGAGGAGCAGAAGCTTTGGCTTTTCCTGGCTGCACCCCCTTTCTCCCGCCCCCCAGGCATGCTGTGCTTCCTTTGGTTTCACCACCTCCTAAAGGTTAAGATACATCCCCTAAGGCTTAGTAACTGGCTAGGAGTGAAATTCTGCAGGTGTTTTCCGACACGTCTGCCTGCCCCCTTGGCCTTATGCCCCAGCCACTACTTGGGCCTGGAGAACTTCTCTGAAATTGTAGCTGGGTCTTCAGCTGGAAGAGCTTCAACACCCCTGAACCATGTGGAGGACACCTGCTCTGGTATGCAGCTTGCCCAGGGAGGTAGGCAGTACCTGCATCAGGAACATATGCTCAGCTTAAATGCCCAGCCAGTCAGCCAGCTCTTCACATAACCACCATGCTGCCAGGTGCACATAAACCCTTTTTCTATACCCGTCCTGTGCGTTCTCTTCTCTTCCCTCCCTCTCCTCCCCAGCTTTGCCAAATCCAAACACAGAGGCAGTCACTTATTTTCAGCCTTGTGCAAACCAAAACTGTGGAAAGAGAATTCACACAAAATCAATGACTGGATAGTTACTTAATTCACAAATACTCTTAGAGTGCAGAGTATGTGAAATCATGACGTACCTACAGCTTGAACGTGAGTTGCTACTCCCAGGGCCTGGGGCAGACGACAATACCTAGATGGAAAAATTCCGGATGTGGAGTGGTGTTAGTCCATGCAGCAAGATCAACAGAGGGTTCTGTGGCGTCTTGGGGACTCAGGGCGCAACCCTAGGCCTGCCGAGGCAGAAAAAGGCCTACAACTCTCCGAAAACTCCAGCCAGCACAGGCTGTGGGGCATTGTCGGCCTTTCTTCCTGACCAAGCTTGCATAGGGTTGCCTCTCGACAGCTTTATCGTGGTGGTGGCTTTTGGGGGCCTGAGACGCTTCACGAGGACCTCTTCCCTGGGTGCAAAGCAATGGCACTTGTGCCCAGGGCTCCTCAGCCAAACTACAAATCCAAGGAAAGGCACTTTGAAGACATGCGAAGCAGCAGCCACAATTCCAGCGACGTGGATAGAAGGAACCCTTGCGCACGATGGGGCAAAAGGCAGGCAGCATGAATTGAGGGCCAGGAAGGCAGGGCTGTGTGGGTGAGGTGCTTGGCCTGTGGGCTGAAGGCAGGCGTACTGCACTTACCGACAGGTCCCAAACAGCGGGCTGGCGGGGGGGATAAGCAGAGCAGAGGGCAGCAGAGGTTATTCCGGAATTAACGTTATGAAAGCCATGGCATTAGCTGGCTTCTATACATTTCATTCTGGCAATAACCCACGAAGGAGACTTTCTAGAAGAGAAGTGACCATGAGGGATATCTACTGCTACATGGGACGTATGAACAAGGAACAAACTCCAGCTTTAAAAGTCCTCCTCCTTCTTCCTCTCCTATCAGACCTTGGAAATCATAATGGCCACACACTCCTTAGATATGGTTGCTCTGAGCAATATGACATTGCCCCGAACCCATTCTTTTAATTTTTCCCCAGCCAAGAAGCTCTTCTTCATCATCTATGTCTTTTCCCGTTAATTTTACCTTGCCTTACCAGATGCAACAGTCTAGGTACGTCATTTCTCATTACATCGCCAAAGTATTCTAGTTTTCTGCATTTTTAATTTCTTGCTTTCAGGATCTCTTCTACAATTCTTCACTGTAATACTTCTTTGCTGGTCACCCACTTGGTGCCTTAAATTTGTAATACCCCTGCAACAAATCCACATTGCTTCCACCTTTTTTAAGGTAGCCCGTCTGTGTTAGAGCCCACAATTCCATGTTATACCCTTGGCAAACTGCCACCGCATCATTCTATGCATATATGTTCTGGGATGGAAAGTAAAATATGACTTGCATATGAGGCCAGGTTTAAATTTTCAGCATTTCTAGGCTTATACAGTTAATTTAAATGACAACTAAAGTAAAAGTACTAGCAGGTTTAAGCATGCTATGAATTGCCTCCTGTTTAATATGAATCAGGGCAGTAAAGGGTAACCTGGGAGAAGTGTCATTTTATAGCACTTAAAGTTCGATGCAGTGATAAGAAACTTCCATGCCCAATAAGCTTGCCAAAGTCACTGTTTATGATTCTGATTTTAAAATATTTTGAACCAGAAAGTATTCTCTTCTGAGCACTTATTTCCTTACAATGCGAAATGTCCAAAGTTAAAGTTCAGCACTAACAATCTAACAACCACAGACAAAGAGTAAGATAAGCTCAGATAATTGCTACGCTGGCTCAAATGGATGGCTTAAAAACAAACCACTTGGGAAAATGAGATCAAGCTACCTTCAGCAGGGAAGATAAGATGATAAACTAAAAGCTGGAAATATTTTGTTTCCTGATTGTTTGATCCATCATTATCTAATAGCTACTGACTTCCTCAGTGACATACAATAATCACAGAATGCTTGAAAACCTGCTCAATTTGTTTATACATGGATCCAATTCAATAACATAGCTAAACCCACTTTCAATTAACAGCCTAGGAATACCTTACTTCTGGGTTGTTTTGGGGCATGTGAACTTGGAAATGCCAGGAAGTCTGTCCCTTGGTCAGACTTGCCATAGAACAGGTGCAGCTGGAGAGATGGCCTTTTCTTGGCTCACTTCAATTGTACTTCAGTTCTTTCCTACGTAGAAGAATTTCCTCTTTCCAACCTGCAGCTGATTCTTACCCCAGGTGACAAGATAACTATTAACAAGTCTAGAGAAAAACTGGAGAACAAGTAATGAACGTTTTGCACCACAGAAGTGCATGAAATTAAATTTAATGAATGGCAAGATTAAAAAGCAAAATGTTGAAGCTTACGCTTGTGACTTTTAAAGTTCTAACAAGGGAGGGAAAATCTCATATGAAAAGCACTGTCAGATGGTAAGGAGAAGATGTGACTGTTGCCTTTATATCATCCTCTCCCAAAGGATGGCCGCCTCAGAGCTTTAGGTGCTATTTGCTTTTAATCACCACATCTGAGCAGAACATTGTATCTGCCAAGCAAAGCACCTGCTATCAAGGTGGTCCTGAAGCACCAAAGCTCCATGTGGCACGAGGCAACGCAGCTGTTGTGAAGATAGAAAAGTAATTATAAATAAAAACAGAATTGTTTCAGGGGAAAAATATCCTCTGTCCACGGCTGCCAAAAAAGACAAGGCAGGATAGATGGAAATGCCTTTCTACCCCAGTGGAAAGCTGCTTTTCTATAGGATATAATCAGTGGTCAGAGAAATGCTCAGGGGGCCAGATTAAGTTCCAGTTAGGAAATATCTCAGAAAAGACATTATGTCTTATCCACCTAACCAAAGATGACAATACAGAGCTGGATGAGGCCCAGAATCTGACTTGCTATACAGATGGCTTCACTGGCTCATCAGGAGGATCCTTTGCATAGTGACAGAAGCCCCTGCACAGCCTGCAGAAGGGCCAGGTTCTATCCCCAGCACCTCCACTTAGGTATGGTAGGAAGCAGGGCTATGAAGGGCCTCTCTCTACCTATGGAGCTGCCTTCGGGTAGAAATGCCAGTACATCCACCACTGATGAAACAATGGATACTATAAAGAAGTGGCCATCTCTTCATAATAGTAACACGCAACCCCCCCCCCACCATTTAATTCCCAGCTTGTCCAGCTAGAAAAATCCAGGCTGGCAGGACACCTCCCTCAGGCCTTGGGGTGCCACTGCTGAACACAGCACCCCAAGTCTCTGCTCCAGGCACCCCCAGATGTGTGGCACTACAACCGCCAGCAGAAAACTGCCTTCTACCACCTTTGCAGAGTGCCTGCCTAGGAACAATGGGAGCCCAACAGAGGGGGCCCAGCAGGGGGATGTTGGGGCCTTCAGGGCCTTGCAGCCCAACAGAGCAGAGTTTTGATTACTGGGTGCTAAAACAAAGAGCATCTGGCTGGGGGGTGCGGGGAACTGTACCCCAACACACCCAGAGGACACCAGGCTCGGTGATGCTGGGAGCTGCAATCCAACAGAGGGCGGCTGGCTGGGGGATGCTGGGAACTGAGGTTCCGCACTCTGGGGGAGCAGGTGGCAGAATGTGCTCGGCACGACGCCGACCATCCACCCCGAGGGGGCCCGTCGAGGTCATCGGCACTACACGCCCACCAAGCTAGCACCGGGCGCCTCCGGAGAAAGCCGAGGCCTCGCCGGCCCCCGACCTCGGCCTGCCCCTCCGGGCGAGGGAGGGACTCGGCCGCCCGCCCCCCCGTTGCCCCCGGAGAGACTCCGCGCGCGACCAGCAGCGCCCCCCCACCCGAGGAGGCCTCGGCCGCGCCCCTTCCCCGCCCACGCCCGCGCCCGCGCCGCCCGCGGGGCTCGCCGCGCCTCACCTGGCCGGACGGGAAGGGGGTCGGGGGAGGGAGCGGGGGAGAGCGACTCCGGGAAGCGGCGGGCGCAGGCAGGGCCTCTACTGGCGGCAGCGGCAGCCGAGCAGGGAGGCCATGGCGTGACGTCATCCGGACGCGACGCGTCGTCGGGAAGACTCCTGAGAGACAGCGAGGAGACGCGGTGCGCGTGCGCAGCAGCGGCCCGGCCGGCGCGCGACCAGGAGGAACAAAAAAAAAGGAAAGGAAAGGGCGTGGCCGGGCTGAGCTTCGGAGAAAAAATTGACAGGCGGGAGGGGGACGCCCCCGGTGGCCGAGTGGCCAATCAGAGGCCTCAGCGGCGGGTCTCAGACAGAGGGGAGACGTCCAGGAAAGGAGGGGCAAGAGGAGCGCGCTGCGCATGCGCCCTTCCCTGCCTGACGCTTTGCTCGGCGCGTCGTGCACTAAGCTGAAGTGCAATTTCCATCGTACCGCCATAATTCAGCTGCGGCGGCTGCGGATGATGGGACATGCGGCTCCCCTCCGCTGGAGGGCGCCGTATATTGGGGAAAGGGAAGGGACTCTGGGCATGTGCAGAGTGCTCGGCGCTCCAGGCGCACCTTCGTATCATCTGGCGCTGCAGTGCAGGCTCGATCGTCGACTGCCGCGCGCAGGAGCGTTTGGCCGCCGGGAGACACGAGTGCGGAGACGAGACATTTTCCGATCGAAGCCACGGGACGGGGCAGGAGGCAGCGCTCCCGGCTCCTTCGCCGAGCTCCCGGGAGGGGCCCCGTTGCAGCGCGCCCAGCGTCCGGCAACCCGCGCGGTGCCCGGTGCAGAACCCCCAGCGCGACGCGGCGTCCCATGTTCCCCAGCAGCTGGCCCGCCTTTGCTCCAGGAGGGGGCACGTGCGCATTGGGACGAGTAGCCCTGGCAGCCTTGCCTTCCTCCGGGTTTTCCCGGGCCTTGCATGGCTCTCCCCATCGGGGCACCCACGGAAGGGCGCTCTGGAGCAAGACGGGGCCCCCCTCGGTCTGGCCAGGCCCTCTCGCCATTCAGGGCCAACCCCCAAGTTTGCTTGAGACACGGGCGGTTTTATTCCAATTTCTTTCCCCACTATGCCTTACTTGGAGTGCGCCTGCCTCCCAACAGTCATTTATGTATTTAAAATATTTCTATGCCGTCCTATTCGCAAAAAAGCCTCAGGACGGCTTACAATATAAAAAATAACATAAATAACATAAATAAATTCCCAACCTACACTGGCTGCAATTAAAAACATAGAAAAGACAATATTAAAACTTATTAAAATACCGCTGGAATAAAAAGGTCTTCGCCTGGCGCCGAAAAGCAAATAATGATGGCGCCAGGCAGGCCTCTCTGGGGAGCATATTCCATAGATGGGGCGCCACCGCAGAGAAGGCCCTCCTCCGAGTACTTGCATCCTAATATCTTTCACGGAGCGTTCCCGGAGGAGGGCCTTTGCCGCCGATCTCAAGGGGCGGGAGGGCAAATATGGAAGCAGGCGTTCCTTCAGGTATCCAGGTCCCAAGTCATGCACTGGATCAGCGTTTTCCTCCAGCCCCCCAAGACCCCTTCCTTGGCTGCTGGTCACGTTAGCTCAGACCCCACCAGTGTATACTTAAAGCTGGGGGGGGGGGTGTCTTTTGCCCCAGGGTGCATCACTTCACACACTGACCCTCGCTGCTCGGTCTCCCGACTTGGAGAGGCCGCTTGGAGCTCCTCGCAATCCCTTTTTGTTTTACCGACTTAAATCATTTAGGCTCAGCATCAAACTTGGCCACTTTGCTGCTCGCTTGTAATTCCAGATCATTGGAATGGTTCAGATCGGTTGAAAAGCGTGGGTCCCTCCGTGAAGAGGCCCAAAGGAATGGCTCAGGGTGTCTCCCACTCGTCCAGGCACAGCTTGAAGAAAGAAATCTTGCCTTGCAAAAGCGAATGTTGCAGGAACGAAAAAGAATAATGCACCAGCAAACGACAGGAATTTTGTGGAGCTATTGTGGTGTGGCAGTTGCGAGGACAAGACGGGGACTACAAAGATCCAGCTTCTAGTCCTCACTCAGCCAGGAAGCCCACCGGGCAGCTCTCGGCCCAACCTACCTCACAGGGTTGTTGTTGTGGGGAGAAAAAAGCCAGATATAAATGCAAATACAAGAAAAAAAGCATGTTGCTCATATCCAATTCCATGGCTGCAGAGGGAAGGGTGTGCTGGAATCGCACAAGGGCAAAATTCATGGGTAGAGCTTACTTTTCTGTATCCTAGAAGGTGCAGTGGAAATTACACTCAGATGAATGCATTTTTAACGTCCATTTATTAGCAGTCCCTAAACCCAAGGACAAGCTTTCTCTAAAACTGTTCAAAATGTGTTATCATGGAGTTACTTAATTTTGAATGTGATGAAGTTCACCACAAGTGGGAGCTGGAATCCAGCAACGATCGAAAGCTGAGCAGTTTTCATGTGTATGAAAACACTTCTCATGTTTTCCGATTCCATGTATATTCTTGCTGCTGATTGACTGATTCAGGAAGCTGACAGAAAAGCATATTGTGAAAACCCAACGGAGTGTGTGTGTGTGTACAGAAGAGGCCAGAAAGATAGTGTGTGATGTGTACACAAGCCTACGCTACCTGTTGTGGAAGAGTGTTTACCTGTATCTATGTGAGGACACCAGATTTGTTGTAGACTTATTCTTCTGGAATAATTACCTGTCCCTAATCAATATTGCCTTGCAAAACACAGACCAAGTTTATGACTTTTTAATTCCTTATTTTGTAAGCCATCCTGAGCGCTTGGTGGAAGGACAGGATATAAATGCTTGTAATAAACAAGTAATATTTCTTTTAAAGCATTTTAGCTACTTCATGGCACCTCCCACAAAAAAGCTGCAGGAATGACTTACAATTAATCATTAAAAGAAGATGATTTATCCTGCTGGTAATCTAAAAAGACATGAAACACCAGGAAAAGGGGACGGGGTATAAAACAGGGAGAGGAAATTAAGGGCCCAATTTTATATTAGGTTAGACAGAAAAAATCCGACGCTATACATAACATTGTCCCCAGAGTCATTTTTCTTCGAACAAAATGAAGGATAATCAGCTTAAAGGCCTCCATGTGTTTGAACCTTGCAAACATACGGACCATTCAAACCCCATTCCTGCTTTAAGGGAAGACTTTTTACTAGCTCATCTCTTTGGAGCTGATCCAGTGTGAAGTGGCGATGGCAATGAATTTAATGTGCGTACCGCTCAGTGGGCAACGCTCTCTGGCTAGCTGGCAACAGATTATAAGGAACACGCAGTCGGCACAGCTGGGCACAGCCTTGGTTTCAGCACCAGAGCTGTGGACAGCGCCCTTTCAGGCTGTTTTTCTGTGGGTACCACAGCTGGGGGGGGGGGGGTCCCCACAGCAGCGCTCAAACAATGGAGGGGGGCGTGTTAGACAGGGAGAGTGGGAATGTCCCGGTCTGTTGATTCTGGAATGTTATCCCAAAGCAATCAGAGAATCTTAGAATAGTAGGGTCGGAAGGGGCCATGAAGGCCATCCAGTCCACCCCCCAGCTGTTGCAGGACACCAGCTCACCCCCTCCCACTCAGAGGGCTGCCCAGTTTCTCTTTGAAGGCCTCCGGTGTGGGAGAGCCCCCCACCCCTCCAGGCAGCTCGCGCTGCTCTGATCTACGTGGAAATGCAGTTCCCATCCAATGTGGGCTCATTTCTTTCTTGCACATTCCTGCTTCATGCCATCGAAATGTTTATTCTCGCCAAGCAGAACAAAATAATATAAAAGCAGATTATCTTTGCAGCTTCCAGATCCTGCCTTGTCTGTGGAGCCTTGCGTACCAAATTCACACTTCACACTGGTCTGGCCGGTCTAAGGAATGGATTTGCCATGTTATACGCGATCGCTTGGCCAGCCGGCAGCGGGGCCTCCAGTCTGCCGAGGGAGAGGAAGCCTAGAGGCCAGGCCGCCCTCGAGGAAGAGCGCGCAGTTAATTCAGTGCGCCTGCATATGGAGCAACTTGCGTTGGTGGCTCCCCATGATGCTCATCCTCTCTAGGAAGCGGTAACTCGCTCTCCATCTGCAGATTCTGATGCAGTCAAAACAGCACCCCACACGCACAGCGGGGAGGCGTCAGCAGGGTTGGAAGGACCCCAAGTTTTGCAGAAGTTAAAGACTCTTTAAGGGTGCAGGGAAAATCCTAAGAGCGATGCCCTTCCCAACAGTCCGGGGAGGACCGAGTGGGTGAGACGAGTGGAAAAGTAAGGAGCTGGGGGATTTGGAATTCCCGTTGCTGATCCAATTAAAGACTAAAACGGTTCAGGGAAACAGATCGCTGCTGGCGTGGCTTGGTTTTGCCTCGGAGAACTTCTAGCCGTGTCCACAGGAGTCTTTGTCTCAAAATGAAAGGGGAGGAGGTCTCAGAAGGTCCTGATTTAGCCAGAGTCTCCTCCTTTCCATTTCATAATGCGATTTCTTCTGGGCAAGGGGATTTCTGGTCACAGGGAGAGAGCAGAATCTGATGGCCGTGAAGAATGCAGGGAAGAGAGTATGTGCTTGGCACACTGATCTGCAAAGCCCCAAGATGTCATATCGCACATCACAATATCGCCAGAATCTGAGTATGACACACACGCACTTCTGCGCAGATGCCGCTGTTTTGGCTACATGCGTATCCTGCAGTGGGAAACACGCAAGTGCGTGGCGATGGTGCCTGAGTGTGTGGCGTGGGCACACACGTCCAGTCGAGCCAGCTTGCCGCTGGTCTTGGAACGGTCTTCCTCAGCCGGGGGAGGTGAAATCTGCAGCCCCAGGAAGGGGCTGGGTTGCAGGAAGACGGGCTTTGCTTGCCCGTGACCCTGCAGCTCCAGAGCAGCCACCCTCTGTTGCTATGGGAGAGGTCGAACCCTAAGGGTGTTCCCAGCGGCACCCTCTGGTGCCCCCTGCCCTTGGTGACGGACCCAAAGCCTGCGATGGGAACTAGTCGGGGGCTGTTCAATTACCTGCCAAAAGAGGCCCCGTGGAACCCAGAGCGCAGGCATTAAAAAGGCAGCGAGGGCGCTGCATTTCTCGGGTGCGCTTCCCCGGCGAACGGCACTTCTCCACCCGATAAGCAATCCCAGCCAAACCGTGCATCATCGGGAGCGTGAGAGCAGGCTTCTCTTCTCCCAGGTTTGCCTGCCGGAGCAGGGCTGCATCGGCAAACGAGGAGCCGGCTTCATATCTGAGCACACCCGGGCGGGCGCCAGCCACGCGAGTGGTGAGAGACAGAGGCTGACGAAGGCAGAGGCTTCCCGGCTGCTCCCTCCACGCACGGCTGGGGGGAGGCGTGGGAAGACGCCGCGGCCGGCCGGGGCTTTGCCTCTCGTCTCCAGGAGCCGAGGATGATGCGATGCGAGGTAAGTTCTGCGGGAAAAGTTCCGCGGCTGCTTGGGGAAAAATAGACAGACAGGTGGCGATGGGTTTGGGGAATGGAATCGGGGAGGCGAGGCAGAGGAGCAGGGAGCCCCAGCTGTGCAAGTTTCCGTGCAGTGCAGAGCGCCACACGATCAGGTGGGGAAGGGCAGCTGGAGAGGCAGGTGGTCTGGAGGTCAGCAGGGACTGCTCCGGCCCTGGGGAGGGTGGCTGGGTCTGTGGGGGCTGCATTTTGCCGGTCGCAAGGCCAGAGTTCAGGTGCGCGGTCTCCCTGGCTCTCGTGGAGGAGGAGAGAGAAGCCATTTCCTTGAGGCTTTGGGACAGGGCGGCCAGCCCGCCATTTCTCTTTCCCCTGTCTCTTTGCGGGGGGCTTGGATAAAGCCCAGGAAGCAGAGGGACATGTCTCGCGTTGCCCCCTGGAGCTGCCTTGCTCCCTGTGGGGTCCACGCCCATTCTGAGTCCCCCCCCCCGGTGAGTCCTTCCCTGTGGGGAGTTTGTCCGAAGGCACGGCACCCTTGCCGATCTCGGGACGTCGCTTCAAGTTCACTTATGCTTCACTGAGGACTTTCTGGAAGTGCTGACCTGTCTTTGCCCCTCCAAGAAAAGGGGAGCTGGGAATTTAGCATTAGGAAAAAAGGTAGCATTTGGGCAAAGGAGGCCGAGAGGGTGTTTTTGCCGGGTGGAGGGAGACGCTTCCATTCCTCTTCCCCGATGCTCACCTGTTCTGGCTTCAGGAAGGTGGCCAAAGCGCTTCCCCTTCGGGGGAAAGCGTACGCCCCTCCCTCCTTGCTGCTGGAGCATTCCTTGCCAGATGTTGGCCTGCACGTACGTGGGGAGCAGAGTGCTGCTTTCCCCGGGGTCTGTGATGCCGCCCGTCGGACGCACGGCGCCTGGAGGAGGAGGAGGAAGGGGACGGGAAGCTCCACGTGGGAGTACAGAGGCCGGGGGCTTGTGGGAAGAGGGCTGCACCCCAGGTATCAGCAGAGGGATATGCCGCTCTCCTCTTGATCCATGCGGCTACCTGGATGGGTGTGCAGGTAGCCGGAAGAGCCACTGGCCCTGCCGTAAGCAGGGAACTGGCTGCTCGGAGCCCTGGCAGGCAAGCCAGCAGTGACTCTGAGGGCCAGGATGAAAACCACTGTCCTTCCCAACACACACACACACACACACACACACACACACCCACCCTTCCTTCCGGGTAAGTCAGCCCTGACAGGGAAGCAGCAGCAAGAAGAAAGCAACAGAAGGACTCACATTCTCCTAAGCAGGGACTTTCACCTGGGGGAAGGTGCCCAGCTTGGCCCGTCACCTGCTTTGGAGCTGGTTGGCCCGTTTGTAATCACTGGAGTCCAACTGTGTGCCAGATTCAAGTCTGGGGTGCCAGCCGCTGGCCCCGGGGTGGCAAGGGTCTCCTTCACTGCAGAACTCCCGGGGGCATAGCAGCCTCTCCGGAGGGGCCTTCGCGTCCAGAAATGTGTCCGCACGGACGGAGGGCCCTGGCCGAGGCTAGCGGGATGGCTGCTGCTGGTCCGGAGGGACGGCTGGGGGCAGGCCAGACCAGGGCGGGGGGACGGCACGGGCACGCCTCTTTTCTCTCTTGGGAGCATCCAGTCTGTATCCATGCAGGGCTTTCCTGCCGGGCCGACGGCGGCGTCCGCTGAGCCTGCACGGGGAGAAGCCGCCTAGGCCCTGGGGCAGAGGCCTGGCCTTCCCGACCCGACGCAGCAGCGCCCCTTCCTCGCCCGGCCCCGGCCATGGAGGGCAGCGGACCGAAGCTCGGCTCCCCCACGAACGTCTCCCTGGCGGGCGGCGAGGGCGCCCTGGGGCCGCTGGTGTACAAGGCCGTCTCCGTCTGCCTGGTGCTCGGCGTGTGCGGGGTGGGCGTCGTGGGCAACGTCATGGTGGTCCTGGTGGTCCTGACCAGCCGCGGCATGAGGACGCCCACCAACTGCTACCTGGTCAGCCTGGCGGTGGCCGACCTGATGGTCCTGCTGGCCGCCGGGCTGCCCACCGTCTCCGAGAGCCTGGCAGGGACGTGGATCTACGGGCTCGCCGGCTGCCTCGGCATCACCTACTTCCAGTACCTGGGCATCAACGCCTCGTCCTGCTCCATCACGGCCTTCACCGTGGAAAGGTAAGGCGAGGTCTTCCGGCCCCTTCCAGCCGGCCCAGGGCAGGGGAGAAGGGGGCCCTGCCCAGGCTCCCGCCTCAGCCGCCGGAGGAGGCCGACGCTCGCGCTGATCCAGACGCTGCCATGCTGAGCACCCTGGGCCTGCAAGCTTGGGCCTGCAGACCCATTCGGGGAGGGCTCAGCGCCCACCCTTTTGGGGATGCCCGACCCAAGCGGGCTCGCCCATCCCGGCCGCCCCTGCTGGGCCGGGCCGCCGTCCTCCACCCCCTTCCTCCAGCTGCCCGCTCCTGCCTCCCCGCTTCTCTCCCTCGTCTCGTCCCGCCCCTGCCCCCAGGTACATCGCGATCTGCCACCCGATGAAGGCCCAGGCGCTGTGCACCCTCTCGCGGGCCAAGCGCATCATCGCGCTCGTCTGGGCGCTCACCTCGCTCTACTGCACGCTCTGGTTCTTCCTGGTGGACCTCTCCGGCAGCAGGGGCCGGCGGCTGGAGTGCGGCTACAAGGTGTCCCGCAACCTCTACCTGCCCATCTACCTGCTCGACTTCGCCCTCTTCTTCGTCACCCCCCTGCTCCTCGCCTCCGTGCTCTACGGCCTCATCGGGAGGGTCCTCTTCCGCAGCCCTGCCCTGCGCCAGCCCAGCGGCCCGGCCGAACCCTGGCCGGCGCGGAGGCGCCCGGAGGCCGGCCGGGGCAAGGCGGGGAGGCCCGGAGCCAGGAGGCCCGTCTCCTCGAGGAAGCAGGTAGGGAGGAGGGCTCGGCAGCCCCCGCCGGTCGTGTGGGTCTGGGACCAGGCCGGGCCTTGCGTGCATCTCGCCCGGCCTGCGGCGAGCTCTCCCTCCCGCCCCGCAGGTCACCAAGATGCTGGCCGTGGTGGTGGTCCTCTTCGCGCTGCTGTGGATGCCCTACCGCACCCTGGTGCTGGTCAACTCCTTCGTGAGGCGGCCCTTCCTGGACCGCTGGTTCCTGCTCTTCTGCCGCCTCTGCGTCTACGCCAACAGCGCCATCAACCCCATCATCTACAGCCTCATGTCCCGGAAGTTCCGCCTCGCCTTCCAGAAGCTCTGCGGGTGCCGGTCCGAGGAGGAGCGGCCCAGGAGCCTCTGCGTCCCCTCGGGTGGCCACAGCCTGCGGAAGGAGCCCAGCGTCCACGGCCAGGGCGAAGCCAAGGGCCCGGGGCAGCGGCGGCCTCCGGGAGACGAGGGGCAGAGCTGCAACGCTCCAGAGCCGCGGGCAGAGGCTGGAGAGGCAGAGAAGGGGAAGGAACTGCGCTCGAGCGTCCTCTGAAGGGACTAGCGACCCCCTCCCCTCCGTGTGGCCGCTTCTCACCACCAGCCGCTCCCACTGCCCAAACTGGCTGGCCCTGGTGGACTGGGAGGCTTGTGTGAACTGGGAGGGGGTCCCTCATCCGTGCCACTGGGAAAGGCAGCCGGGCTCGCCGAGCGAACTGGGGCCAGCAGACGGGGCCGGGAGGGACACTGGGCACGGAATGCCACCTTTTGCAATCTGACACGCACAGCTCAAATCCCTCTGCCTTGAGGCTTCCACCGGCCATGGGAGCCCTCAGTAAAGACGCAGTTCCTTGATGCAAAATAGGTCCAGGCCAGGCGTCGGGGCAGCTGCCACAGCAGAATGCCAGAAGTCCGATGCCGTAAGACAGAGGCAAACCCTGAAGCGACGGAAGCAAGGGAAGCCGGAGGGAACTGGCAGCGGTTTCGGGAGCATCCGGAAAGGCTTCAGGGCTCGGCTTGGTGGCCCTCGGATGCAACCTGAGCCGGGGAGAAGAGGCCAAAGTGAAATCTGATCCCGAGCACCAGGTTTTCAGTGCCTCATGGCTCCGGACCCTTCCACTCACAGGCACCCCATAGACCCTCACACCTGCACATGGGCAGCACCCAGAATGGGAATTTCTTTGGGATGAAGTGGCAAACGCAGATGGAAGAGACTTTGGCAGCAGTATTTGGGATTAAGGCAACCTGGTGGGACTGGATGTGCCTGCCCCCCCCCCCACAGGATGTGCACTGAGCACCCCCACGCCAGAATATTCTCCCAAGTATCTAGGAAGCGAATCCGCAGCTCAAAACAGCATTAATCATACTGGCTCATACCTTATATTCCATCAGAAGCTGCCGCTGATGAGCAATTTATTCCTCCCCGGCATAATTCAGGATGAAAGTTCAAAGAAAAATCAGTTATTTACACTTCGCTGCCACCAAAGCAGCAAGAGAAAGATGGAGAGAAGGGTGGGGGAGAGAGATGGCGCCTCCATTTTAACACTGCTTTCCCTCTTGCACTTGTAAAAATGGACTCCTAGCTGAAAACTTTTAATGCTGTTCCATCTTTCTGACTAGCCCAAATGACAGTGGCACATCAAACAGGCAGGGCTAGTTTGGGAGTGACTTGAACGCTCCCCCCCGCTCCCCGCTACGCTCTTGACAAAAATCTCCTCTCTGGAACCCAAGTGCTCCTTTTCAAAAGGGGGGCCTCTTTGCACGGCTGGCCCACGGACAGGCCGGCGGCTCTTTCTCCAGCGTCAGCAGCAGGGCTCCTCGGGCCACGTGGCACGAAGGTCTCCCCAAATGAAAAGGCTTCACGTGTTTCCATAGGAAGAAGATGTCGTCTCTGCAAAGAACTGCGGCCGAATGAGTGACGGGGGGTCTGCCGGTGGAGCGCCGGACTGGGGAGACCCGGGTTCTAGTTCCCACCCAACCATGAAACTCACTGGGTGACTCGGAGCCAGTCAAGGGCTCAGCCTAAGCTTCCTCGCAGGGTTGTTGTGAGGATAAACTGGAGAGCGGGTGGAGGACGATGTGAGCTGCCCCGGCTTCCTCGTGAGGAGGTGGCAGAACAAGGGACTACAAAGGCAGCTTTTGCAGAAGAGAACCTCAGGCTTCGAGAGGAGGAATGATGGCCCTCAGGAACCTGGCCAGCGCACCCCAGGCGTCTCTGCTGCCCCCGAGAACTTCTCTGCTGCGGCAGCTTTGCAGGAGGATGCAGGAACGGCAAGGGCAGGCCCTGCTCCGGTGTGGTGCCGGTTCCCCCTCTCCACACAGCACGTGTGCCTACGGTCCGAAGGAGCACCCCCCCCCCCCCCAGAGCTTCCATGCCTTCCCGAGCGCCTCCTCGACTCAAGAGCACAAGCAATGTAAATATTAGGCAGATTAGATGCTAGGCTTTGCTTCTTTAAATTAACCCATGGGTTTGTCGGATGCGGGACTGAAAAGGCACGGACTTTCTTTCCCCTGCAAACAACCAGGGGCCTACCACAAAAAGGAGAGGGGAAAAAGCTACAACAGACTGTAGAAGGTCCCGGGTTCAATTCTCAGCTGCATCTCCAGGTAAGGATGGGAAAAAACCTGCCAGAAGGGCAGTCCGTGTCGCGAGTACTGCATTCAATGGGCCAGTAAAGAGCAGTTTTTATGTTCCTAGTACTAGTTAAAAAGAAAAAAAGGGAACCAGAACTCTGGAAGGAACGATGCCCGCTCAGATAGTACCTGTTCCGAGATCTGCGACTCTTGGTACTTCCTTCATGTTGTTTAAAGGCCTTTCCAAATGGAAGATTTTTAAATGGGAAAGACGCGTGTGTGTGTGGACAGCGGAAGCTTGCAAGATTGGTATGCGTGCAGAAAAAATATCCCGAGCCTGGGAAAAGGACAGAGGGAAGGCTCAGGCGGGGGAGCTCTTTGCAAAGAAAAGCCAGCCAACGCGTGGATGGCGATGGCGGCGTGCGAGGAGGAGGGACTCCGTGGTGCAAGCTGCTAGAGGACTGTCACCCCCAAGCGGGTGACTCTGACATTTGTCAGGCTGGGTTCCCCATTTGCTGGCAGAGAAATACACCCCGCATGACGCACGGCCCGGCTTCTGCAGTTATCCAGGGCACCCTTTCCTGTTTGAGAGGAAGTTGCACTGGCCCAATTTTTCAGAGTGAGGCTAATGCAGCCACCTCTCGTATTAGAAGCTTTGGGGGTCCTGGGAAAGAATCCCACCACCCAGATGGGTTAAACGCTCTGCTGACGTTTCCTTTTGAAACATTCTATATATTTTAATTGTTATTGTTTGAATGTATTTTGTATTTTATTTGATGTTGTAAGCCGCCCCGAGGCCTCGGCAAGGGGCGGCATAGAAATGTTTGAATAAATAAATAAATAAAAAATAAAAGTGCACAATGTAAGCCGTACAAGGAGCTGCAACCAGGAGCAGGTCTTTGAAGGGGCTCTGGCCACCAGATTAAGCCCCCAGCTTGTGGCTCAGCCCATAGGCAGTGTGGCCTAATGGTTGGAGTGGCTCACATGATATCATCTTAGCCTGACCTCCCCCACAGGGTTGTTGTTGTGAGGCTAAAGTGGAGAGAAGAGCCTTGCAAGACCGTGTCCATGGAAGGCCATCACCGTGGTCTCCATGCCTGAATTGCACCGATTTGCGGAATGTATTGCAGCCCCAAAGGCGGCTGTCAGTGTGGCTGCTCCGATCGTGCCGAGCAGCTAAGCAACACCGAGGGAGCCAAGCGAGCCCGATTCCCCCAGCATCTGGAATAAACACGAAGTTTTGCAGCCCTCCTTTCCCAAAGGGGCGGGGGGGGCGCGCGTTCACTCCCCCCACTGCCCGGCCTGGCCATGGGTCTGACGGGGTAATTGATTTTTCACGGGGAGCAGTGGCTAATCAGCTTTCTCTCTGGAATGCTCAAACGCCCCGCAGCCGAAGCGCCGAGGCTAATGAAATTGCAGCGCCTCCCTGGCCCAATCAAGGCCCAAATTAGAGAGACAGCTGTGCCTGCTGGGACTCGAGACGAGACGTCCGCTGCTTCGGGCTGTGCTTGTGGCAGAATTAAAATGGCAACTGCAGGGGGTGGCGGGTGGGCGAGAGGTGGGGGCAGAGAAAGACTGAGCGAGAGCGAGCCAGCCTGCCAGCCAGCCTGGGATCGAAGGAGGGGCCCCCGCTGTCTTCCCCTTGGGGGGGACTACCCCCTGCCCAGACCAGGGCTGTGGCAGCTCAGGGCGAAGCTCACGACGTCGCCCGCGGCCGCACGACAAGACGCAGCCACCGAGAGACCGAGCAAAGGCCTAACCGCTCGTGATGCCCAAAGGCAGCCGCCCGGCCCCACCGCGGACGGCGAAGCACAACCCCCAATTCCTGGGGAAGGGGCAAGACACCACAGGCTGAAATCCATCCAGGCCAGAGCCGTTGCGATGGGTGGAAATGTCTCCCAGGGTTCCCGGCAGGCCCCCACCCCCCCAGGGCCGTTGCACAGGAGATGGGCAGAGAGGGACGGAGGGGGAGCAGCTCAGCCCTGCCTTGCATTCCCCCTGCCCCCCCCCCCCCCCGGCAGCATCCCCCGCATCTCCCGCATATTGAAGGTTCCCTCCGGCTGGCTCCCCATTGGACCTGGGGTCCATGCAAGCCAACGGTGATCAGGCACCAGCAAGGTGAAGTGGGGCCAGGAGGGGCCAGGAGGGACAGGTACCTACCTGAAGGCAGCTGCGAGGCAAGGCTGGAGGCCAGGCCAGAAATCCGGAGCAACCAAACCGAGGCCCAGCTGCCGTGGCCTTTCTAGGGCCCCCCACGCTCCCAGCTGCACTGCAGCATCACCTGCGCACCCCCCTGCCAGGCTCCCCCAGGTGCGCTCCTGGTCCTGAAAGCGCTCGCAGGGGAGTGGGGCCGCTCGCCACCGGGCTGGCTTCGGCAGAGGCCGGCTGCCGCCTGAGCCAAGTCCAGCCCGTCCGTCCGGCCAGCGTCTCCAGAGAGCCACACCTGAGGGCTGTTGGGGGGCGGGCTGCAGAAATACCTAATTCGCCCCAATTCATCCGCTGAACAACAAGGCTGGGTGCCCCTCCAGGGTCCTCTCCAGGCCCAGCTGGAGGGGCCGATCGCCCCCAAACCCTGACCTGTGCGGGGATCAAAGACCGCGGGAGGAGCACTTGGGCGGGCGGGCGGGCGGGCGGCAGAGGCCCCCAGCCGGCGTCTCCGGCTCAGGCCCCGAACCGAGGCTGCCCCTTGCACTAGAGTCCTCGGGGGAGAGCCAGGATTAAAAGCAGGGGCAGCCACGACGCCTGCAGGAACGGCGGCATCTTCGGAAGGCGGAAAGTCCAGGGACACCAGCATCAATCCCCTCCTGGCACACAAAGGAGGAGGAGGAGGAGGAGGAGGAGGAGGAGAGAAAAACAGACGGAACGAAGTCTGGCAAAGACACTGTGTTTCATGACAATGGTTTGCATGCAGAGTCTCTGTGGGGGTCGAGGATCTGGCGACGCCCGGGGGAAATGGGTCCGTCCCCTGCTGGCTCGCCCGCC